TTTATTTATTTATTTATTTATTTATTTATTTATTTATTTATTTATTTACACTGCCATCAAACAATAGCACCAAGAAGTAAAAACTCCAGACTCAGATGGTTCACAGGTGAATTCTCTCAAAGATTTAAGGAATAATACCAATTCTACAAAAACTCTTTCAGAAAACTAAGCAGGGAGGAATCCTTCCTAACTCATTGTATGATGCCAGTGTAATCCTGATAACAAAACCTGACAAAAACATTACAAAAAAAATTACAGACCACCATCCCACATGAACATAGATGCAATTATACTTAACAACATACTACAAAATCAATTCCAGTAGTTTTATTTAAAAAAGGCCAAAAAAAAAAAAGAGTAAATATCCTGACCAAATAGAGTTTATCCCAGAAATGAAAGGTCAGTTTAGCATTTGAAAATCAATCAATGAAATTTACTACATCAACACAACAAAGGGGGAAAACCCTATGAGAATTTCAATACAGAAAAAGTATTTAACAAAATTCAATACCTATTTTATTCAGTGATTAAAACCTGTCAGTGAACTAGGAATAGGATACTTTCTCAATTTGATAAAGAGTATGAACAAAAGTATCTGTTTTTGAGTTCAGGAGTTCTTCATTAATTCTTGATACCCATCTTGTGTCAGATACATGTTTTGCAAATATTTCCTACTCTGTGGCATTTCTATTCATTTTCTTAATGTGTCTTTTGAGGAGTAGAAGTCTTAAATTTTGATATGCTAACTTATCAATTTATTTTTCTTTTATGGTTGTTGCTTTCTGTGCTTTATACCAGGAGAATAAAAGAAATGATTCTGGAAGAAAGATGATGAAATGACCAACACTGGCACACATAAGGTGCTTATTAAATGTTTGTTGAATAAATCTCATTCAGCTTAGTGTTAAATGCAAACATGATGAACACGTTAATGGCTTCATTATAATTATTGATGTAAATATAGATTAGGGTAGGGTCTAGGGGAAATTCTGTAATTCACCTTCTAAATATGCCTTCCAGATTGTTATCAATGTAATCCCTGGAAACAGATGTCCAACTGACTCTAAAGCCAATTAATTTTAAATCAACATGACTATTATCACCTGGCCTTCAGTAATTCATTTTGTTTACAAGAAAGAAAAATGTCTTGTTGAAAACAGGGTACACTGACACTCTAATAGCCTGTTCATCTAGAAGGACTTGGTGGGACCCGTTCTTAGTGAAAGGCTAGCTCCTTATAATCATCATTTCATTTCCTAAGTGCTCTCAAGGCATCTGTTTAATAACTCATTCTAAAATTTTGTCAGGGCTCGGTATCACATTATTGATCAGATTTTGCCTTTCCTTCTGTGGGACCCAAGGAATTTAACAAAAATCCCCTACCCCTGGACAAGCAGAGCAAGACTAACTCCATTTTGTGCTACACCCACCATCTCAAGTATAACCCCCACCCTAGTCAAGCCGGTGAGCACACCCTTACTGGAAACCGGCTCATACAGGAACGTGAACCCCTAACCGCCAAAGAATGTAAACCCCGTCTTTTGCCTGCCCAACTTGCGCACCAATTGCAGGGAGGATTCCTCCCTGCTCCTTGGTGGTCTCTCGGATTCGAAATCAGGGGCATTATACCTTCCTTCTAAAATACTAGAACGAAAGTATTTTATTACTTCTCCCCTTTAATGTGATGCTGCAAATGTCTAAGAGTGATTCTTAGCACCATGCAATGTAATTAACAGACAACCCATTGGATATAGTGAGCTGCTCTTTAATTTTTGCTCACTGATCTTGAAAGTAAACCCATTTATTTTTTTTTAAGTTCATTTATTTATTTTGAGAGACAGAAAGAGAGTGTGAATGGGGAAGGAGCAGAGAGTGAGGGAGAGAGAGAATCCCCACTGCTGAGCCTGACATGGAGGCTCGATCACACAATCATGAGACCAGGACCAGAGACAAAATCAAGAGTCAGACACTTAACCAACTGAGCCACCCAGGCACCCTGAAAGTAAACCCTTTAAAAAAAAAATCCATTCTTTTCTCCCACCTCAAAGATCCTTCCCTGAATGAAAAAGTTGGGTCTTTCCATTGCCTTCAGACTACCCTAAGTTCATAGAGCAAAACATCTGCTATTTTATATAAATTAAAAGTTCAACCTAATACTTCACAGTTGAGGAGCCTGGTATAGGATATCCCAGACTTATCTGTTGCACAGTCGTTCAAAGCCAACTGGTGCCAGCAATGACCTAAAATTATCACCTTTATTGCTGCTTCATAATTTTGAAAACCCACTTCCAATCTGAAGCTTCATGTCTCTGGTTAAAGAGAAGCCAAAGACTAAGGGTGCTGAGCCTGGGTGGCTTAGTTGGTTAAGCGTCTGACTCTTGACTTTGGCTCAGGTCATGATGTCATAGTTTGTGGGTTTGAGCCCCACATCAGGCTCTGTGCTGATGACGCAGAGTCTGCTTGGGATTCTCTGTCTCCTCTCTCTGGCCCCATGCCCCACACTCTCTCTTTCTCTCTCAAAAATAAATAAATAAACTTAAAATGTGGCAAGAAGAGAAATGCATACTTCTAAAGAAAAAAAAAAGGAGAAGCCAAAGACTGAAGTGCATCCACAAGAAATAACTGGTCATATCCAAAATGTATACTAATAAGATAAATGTAATTTTTTATTAGTAACAAGTAACCTAACATTGTTTTTCATTCTAAACTTGGTTAACAAAAAGGTAAGAAAACATATTTTGTAAATGTTTGGCTCTGAAATTTATAAACCCAAACAGGGACATACTGTACATATTGCTAGTTTTCCTTATCTTCAAGAGAAAACATGTTAAACATGAATAGACAATTCTCCAAAGAAGACATCCGGATGGCCAACACGCACATGAAAAGATGCTCAACGTCACTCTTCATCAGGGAAATACAAATCAAAACCACATGGAGATATCACCTCATGCCAGTCAGAGTGGCTAAAATGAACAAATCAGGAGACTACAGATGCTGTAAAGGATGTGGAGAAATGGGAACCCTCTTGCACTGTCGGTAGGAATGCAAACTGGTGCAGCCACTCTGGAAAACAGTGTGCAGGTTCCTCAAAAAATTAAAAATACAACTACCCTATGACCCAGCAATAGCACTGCCAGGAATTTACCCAAGGGATACAGGAGGGCTGATGCATAAGGGCACTTGTACCCCAATGTTTACAGCAGCACTTTCAACAATAGTCAAATTATGGAAAAAGCCTAAATGTCCATCAACTGATGAATGGATAAAGAAATTGTGGTTTATATACACAATGGAATACTACTTGGCAATGAGAAAGAATGAAATATGGCCTTTTAGAGCAATGTGGATGGAACTGGAGAGTGTTATGCTAAGTAAAGTAAGTCATACAGAGAAAGACAGATATCATATGTTTTCACTCTCATGTGGATCCTGAGAAACTTAAGACCATGGGGGAGGGGAAGGAAAAAAAAAAGTTAAAGAGGGAGGAAGCCAAACCATAAGAGACTCTTAAAAAGTGAGAATAAACTGAGGATTGATGGGGGGTGGGAGGGAGGGGAAAGTGGGTGATGGGCATTGAGGAGGGCACCTGTTGGGATGAGCACTGGGTACTATATGGAAACCAATTTGACAATAAATTTCATATTAAAAAAAAAAAAGAAAAGGAAACATGTTGAATAGATTTTAATTCCTAATCATTGTCTTCCCTTATTCATAGTTCAATTCTGATTCATATATTTTTTCATTTGGGGATGCACCATAGTTCAGTGAGGATTTTGAAGGCAAACAGTTAGAATCTGCACTCAGCCAGCCACTTATTAGCCAACTAACCTTAAACCCTCTAAGTGAACTGAGGATAACAATATGTACTGACTTCATGGAGTTTCCATAAGGACTACATGAGATACTGCATGTAAAGTACTTGACACAGGGCCTACCTCTTCCCCTCCAACACCTACTCCTACTGTCCACCAAGGTAGTTATTATCATTGTCATCATTCAACAAATCCTTATTGAGTACATACACAAATGAACTAAAAGAACATTGTAAATGAGGAATTTCATACTTATCTTACATACCCACTGTGTGCTATCAAATCCAATTCGGTTTCCCTTAGATTTTGATACACCAGCTCCATTCTAAGAAGATAACAAAAAAAACATTTTAATAAATTCAAAGCTATCTTTCTCTGTCTTATTTTACTTGGCATACAGGGAACAAACTGGTGGTTGCCAGAGGGGAGAGAGTGAGGGGGATGGGCAAGATGAGTTAAAGGGAGTGGGAGATATAGGCTCCTAGCTATGGAATGGGTAAGCCATGGGGATAAAATATACATAGAGAATACAGTCAATGGTATTGTAATACTGTTGTATGAGAGGTGGTAGCTACACTTGTGGTAACCACAGCATAACTGTTGAATCACTATGTTGTATATCTGAAACGAATGTAACATTGTGTGTGAACTATACTCCAATTAAAAAAAAAAAAGTCAGGTCTAGAGAATCAGAAGGAAGAAAGCATTATCAGTTTTCATCTGATAAGCCCCCAAATACTTTGAAAGTAACAGGAAAAAAGAATGTCTGATGGTCTAGAGACAATGGGAAGAATGTTTCAAGCTCAAAGAAAATCCAAAGAAGTTTCTTATGCCTTGAATGTGTTCTTTACATAGAAGACAAATGGGAGGATACTAAAGAACAAGAAGAATAGCCTTACCCAACAAATGAAATATGCCCCAAGTTTCTAAAAAGGAGACTTGCGGCACCGGGGGCTCAGTGGGTTGAGTGTCCAACTTCAGCTCAGGTCATGATCTCATGGTACATGAGTTTGAGCCCTGCATCGGGCTCGATGCTGTCAGCACAGAGACCACTTGGGATTCTCTGTCTCCCTCTCTCTCTACCCATCCCCACCCCCGCAACACACACACTCTTTCTCAAAAAAAAAAAACAAAAACAAAAAAACACCACAAAAAACAAAACTCATCACACTCAAAAAAATTAAAAGGAGACTCATCTCCCCACTAAACTGCAAACTCAAGGGCAGGGACCAAGTCCAATCCTTCTTTATATTGCCAGTGCCTAGCACAGTGCTTGGTAATGACTAAATACTTAATTGTGGTTTGCTAAATGGAGGGAAGGAGAACAGAAAAGAGGAAGAGAGATACTGAGTAATCAAGGTAAAGCCAGAAGTGGTCTCTCCTCACAAGCTCTGCAACTTAGACAATAACATTTTAATAGCAAGAGATATTTGAGAACAAACTACAAAGAGACAGCTCTGTAATCTTCATCCTTGAAAAGAGACTGCAAACTCTATAACATAGCCCTTGTTACTCATAGCCCTCCATGAGTTAATTAGACTGAATTTCTGAGCTGTTTGTTTTCTCTGCTGGATCATTCCCATCAGTATACAAACACGATATTATTTCTATCTTAAAACAAACAAGCAATAACTCACTGTATGCCCACTGTATGCAACTAACAATTTTCCCCCCTAACTAACAATTAACAATTTTCCCAACTAACAATTTTCCCCCCTTAAGCAAAACCCCTAATGGGCTGTCTGTTCTTATTGCATCCGATTCCTCTCCTCTTATAAGCTCTTGAGCTTAAATTCACTCTGCCAACTATTCATCAAGATCACCAATGACCTCCATGTTGCTAAATCCAATGGTCAATTATTTTTACTCCTTGTCTTATTTGATCAAGAATTGTTGACCACTTGTGTCTCAAACACTTTAGTTGCATGGCTCTCCGAATCCCATACTTCTGGTTTTCCTATTTCTTTCTGGCTGCTTCTTCTTTTCTTTGCTAGTTCTTCCACCTCCCTGATGTATGAGGGACCCCCAAAACTCAGATCATGAGACTTTTCTCCCTCTTTTTACTCTACGTTCACTTTCTTGGTACCTCATCTATTCTAATGGCTTTAAATACCATCTGTATGCTTACCACTCTCAATTTATATTCTCAACTACACCAGTCCTTTGAACTCCAAACATAGATTCAACTATCTACTCACCTTCTTCATTTGGATGTCAAATAGTCATCTGAAACTTAACATGTCTGGAAAAAGCTCCAGATCTCTAACCATCCCTCAAGCTTGCTTCTCACCTCAGTAAACAGCAACTTCCCCTTTCCAATTATCTAGGCCCCAAATACTAAAGTTATCCCTGACTCTTTTATGTCTCTTATACCCCACGTCTAGCCCATGAACAAAATCTGGTAGCTCTACTTTCTACCACTAGTTCCCTTGTCCAAGCCATCACCATCCTGTATAAATTATTAGAATAGACTTCTACCTAGTCTGTTTTAGCCCTTGACCCTACAATCTATTCTCAACAGAGCATCTATTCTACTACCTTTTTAAAAAAATCAGATCATGTCACATATCAGCTCAAACTTTCCGATGGTTCACAATCTCACTCAGAACAAAAGCAAAAGTCCTAATGGTTTACAAGGCCCTAAACAATATAAACCCTCTGACTTTACTTACTACTCTTCCCCACTCTCACTCCTCTATAGCCACATTGATCTTTTTGCTGTTCTTAAAACTTCCAGACATGTTCCTGCCTTGGGACTTGGGACTTTCGTGCTTCCTTTGGTCTCTAGGTAGTATGGTCCTCTTCTAGATATCCACAGAGCTCATTCTTTTCAAATATGCTGTTTCCTCTATTTTTTAAATAATTTTTAAAGTTTATTTATTTTGAGAGAGAGCACAAGTAGGGGAGGGGTAGACAGAGAGAGAGCAAGAGAGAGGGAGGGAGGAAGTCCCAAGCAGGCTCTGCAGGATCAGCGCAGAGCCCGATGTAGGGCTCTAATTCATGAAACTGTGAGATCATGACCTGAGCCAAAATCAAGGGTCAGACGCTTCACCAACTGAGCAACCCAGGCACTCCTGTTTTCTCTATTATAATGGCCTTCCCATCTTTCTATACCTGGAGGATTTACACTCATTTTATAAAACCAACTCAAAATATTATTTCATTCATTAAATATTCAATCATAACTTTCCTAAGTGGGTTATTCAGCAGATTTTCATTCCCTACAAACTTTGTACTTACCTAAGCTTGAAGGGTCAAGGATAAGGACATAGGAGGATACAGTTTTATAGGGGCTGACAATTATACAATTTTGGTGGTCTTTTTTAATAAACAGAATGCAAAAATATATTTTGCAAACTTTACCAAAATATATAGCTTTATAACATATTCCTAAGCCTCCTTCAAGGGCCTTTGGAAGTGAGGGGCCCTGTGGTTTAAATCTCATCTATCTGGGGCACCTGGGTGGCTCAGTCAGTTAAGCATCCGACTCTTGATTTCAGCTCAGGTCATGATCTATCTCACCCTTCATGAAATCAAGCCCTGCATCAGGCTCCGTGCTCAGGATTCTCTCTCCCCCTCTCTCTGCCCCTCACCCTCCTTTCACGTGCACACTCACGCTTTCTCTCAAAAATAAAGAAAGAAAACATTAAAAAAAAACAAATAAATTTCATTTATCTTAATGGTTAATCTACCTCTGGTGAGGTACAGTTACTGGCAACCAGTGGCTACAACCATAGCTGTAAAGGAGGAATGTAGTTCCTATCAAGCAATGATCCTACAAATAGAGAACCCAAAGAATAAATAACATGACCTCTCTTTCCTCCAGGTCTTCAGTCTCCAGATGATGTTTCCCCTTGGCTGACCTCCAACTAGAAAAGGGAAGGGAGCTCACCTAATGCAGTCCATTGAGGTCAGCTCCCCGAGACGCAGACTATTAAAGACAAGATCTGGAAGGGCAAACAGAGACTATCTACCATACCATGGTAAGAAATCTGGATCTTACTCCATAGGCATGCTATGCAGAGAATAACTTGATCAGATATTTAAAAAAAAATAACTGGGACAGCTGTACAGAGAGGATTACAAAATCTAGAGACTAAAGAAGAGTTCTTAAACTATAACTAGAAAAGTAGGCAGAACAAGGTTTATGAGATGTGCTTTAAAGAAGTAACATATTGTCATTTGCTTATATGTCTCTTTATATGTTTCTTAACTTCTCTCCTCTTCAACCCCAAATTTCCCCAGTTTCTGACTTCCTAGACGGCAAGGATTACACTTGACTCTCATTTTATCTCATAGCCTAGTACTGTACTTGGGCACATAGTAAGTACTCGACAAACATTTGACAAATAGATGACCAAATGTTCTAAAAGAAATGCTATATCAAATCAAGTGGTTTTTCTTTTTAAAGGCTAAAGATATACCTATAGGATTGAGTAAAAATGTAAATGAAATGAATAAATAAATGGAAAGATGGAATCAGATGCCGAAAAGGAGGGGTAGAAAAGGTCTTGTGGCTATTGAACACCACTGATAAATGAGTTAAAATAAGGGATATGTCATTAAAGAGAAAGTATTTAGCATATAGGAGGTGAAGATTTAAGGAAAAATCCTTTCATTTTTTGAAAGAATATCCAACAATCCGTTTCTTACAGAAACCAAAAAACAATTCTTTATTTTTTTTTTAAGTTTATTCATTTTGAGAGTGACAGAAAGAGTGAGTGGGAGAGGGGCAGAGAGAGACGGAGAGAGAGAATCCCAAGCAGGCTCTGCACTGTCAGCATGGAGCCCGATGTGGGGCTCAAAATCACGAAACATGAGACCATGACCTGAGCCGAAGTTGGACACCTAACTGACTGAACCACCCAGGTGCCCCCAAAAACAGAATTCTTAATCCAGCATGATCATTAATCATGCCTACAGAGAATCAAACAGTAATACTTACAAAAACTGTTTGAGTTTTCAATAATTGATCTTTTTCAATTGTTTATAAATTGGTAATCCTAAGGATCAGAAACACTAACCATGGTAAATTCACCAACACTCCAGGCAGATTCCCCTTTTGCATCTCAGTGCCTTTCCTTATAGTAGATGCACTGCTCTCTTACTTACTCCCAAGTCACTGAAGTTCTTAGTGCATAGGACTCATAAATATGATCTGACACAGTGGGAAAACTTTGCTTATTTATTAGCCAAACTGCTTGGCCAGAAAACCTATAGAGTGTAAAGTCTGGGGATAGATAGAAGTATTTTTTAAATATCCCTCAATTCTAATGGAAGAAATTCTTTCATATTCTCCTGAACAATGGTGGTCATGGGGGCGGG